TTATTTTATTTTATTTTATTTTTATTTTGTTTTGTTTGTTTTGTTTTGCTTTGTTGTTTTCTTTTTTGGTGTTCTTCTTTTTGTTTCTTTTTTTTTTGGTTTTTATCTTTTTTTTTTCTTGTTCTACTTTCTTCTCTCTTCTGTTTTGTTTTTTCTTTTTTCTTTTTTATTTTTCTTTTTTATTTTTTATTTTTATTTTTTATTTTTTATTTTTTATTTTTTTTTTTTTATAGGGGGATTAAAAGGAAAACAAAAGAAGCGGCGAATCGAGCAGGAGAAGAAGAAACAAAGAAAAAAAGAAAAAAAGAAAAAAAGAAAAGAATAAATAAAAAAAGAAAAAATAAATAAATAAATAAATAAAAATAAATAAATAAAAATAAATAAACAAAGAAAAACAAACAAAAAGAAAGAAATTGAACTGAAGTAGCAGCTGCAGCCTGCGGTGTATAAGCAGCTCCGATGCTAAACAAAAGAAGGAGATTTCTCTCTCTAAATATGTTTTTTATATTAATATAATTAATTTTATTATTTTTTTATTTATATTAATATTAATTTTATGCAAAAAAAAACAAAAAAAAGAAAAAAAAAAGAAAAAAAAAAACGAAACGCACGGGGGGTGGGGCCCCGCCCCCCATCACGGCGTTCATAAAAAAGAGAAGAAAAGTTTTTTTAATTAAATTAAATATTTATTTTATTTATTTTATTTATTTTATTTATTTTTTAATTTATTTTCTCTTTTTATTGAATCGTAACACACCATAGTAGAAGTAAGCCAGAGCCCATTAGGGTTTAGAGGGTTTAGGGTTTAGGGTTTAGGGTTTAGGGTTTAGAGTTGCTAGGGTTTATAGGGTTTAAAGTTTAGATAAAACACAGGATTTATTGTTTACTGTGTTAATGGTTTAGGGTTTAGGGTTTAGGGTTTGGGGTTTAGGGTTTCGGTGGTTTAGAGGGTTTAGGGGTTTTTAGGGTTCAGGGTTTAGATAGTGTATACAGCATAGAAAGAGGGTTTAGGGTTTGTAGGGGGTTTAGTGTTTATATAGAAGGGGGTTTAGGGTTTAGGGTTTAGGGTTTATACAGGGTCTAGGTGGTTTAGGGTTTATTTTGAGGGTTTAGGGTTTAGGGTTTAGACGGGGTGTAGAGGGTTAGGGTTTAGGGTTTAGGGTTTAGGGTTTAGGGTTTGCTGCCCCCAAACAAAAATTTTTATTGTTTTAGGGTTTAGGGTTTAGGGGGGTTTGTTTTCTTTTGTAAAGAGCAGCAGAATGAGGTATACTAAAACAAAAAAATAAATAAAAAAAAAATAAAAATAAAAAATAAAAATAAAATAAAAATAAAATATAAATAAAAATAAAAAAAAATAAAAAAATAAAAATAAAAATAATAATTTGTGTTGTTGTTTACCTTATATAGCCCCCTATAATAATAATAACTGCTAATATAATTCTATACTTTACATTGAGACACGATATATATATATATATATATATATATATA